CCCCAAAACCCCAAAACCCCAAAACCCCAAAACCCCTTCTTTAAATAACCAACTACATAATTTCGTATATAATGGAGCTAAGCCCAATCCAATTTTGAGCACCGAGACAAATCAGTGAAGACCCCTTCGCTTCTGAGAGATTGCATAATTCTCTCCAATATGGCTTTTATTGTACTCCTGAGGAGCTAAGAGAGCTTATCGAGCAATTTTTGGAAAAATTCTGGAAAATCAAACACCATGTGACAAACTTGCTCGAAGAAGAGCATGAGCATTATGACCAATACGAAGACAAAACGATTGAAGTTGCTAACCTTGTTGACAACTTCGACATCCCCTTGATCTTAATCCTCAAGAAATTATACCAAAACGACGATGTAAACAGTACTAAAGAGAAAGTGGTGACCAATGAATTTCTGACTCACAACTTCACTGATGAAGAAGAGTTCAATTACTCCCATCTCTGTGATATTGTGACTGAAATGCTCGAAGATGACTTCAATGTCAGAATAAATGTCAATGAATTATTTGCAGAGAAGGCCACAATCTGAATTCCTGCCATATTCTGAGTAATGCAGGCAATCGAACAATGTACTTTTGGTGTTGAGCGTATCCTGGAATTTCTCCAGACAGAAGACAATCGCAACAGTCGGAGACAACTTTTACTCTCTTGTTCAAGACTAACAAGGTGATTTTCCTTGATAATCTGTGCCGCAAAAGACGATCCCCAAGATATCTTCTACCAAAAAGAGCCAAATGCAGATATAAAGAGACTCTGTGCACGTTATGAAGTAATTGAACCTGAAGATCGTATTGAACATTTTCTAAAAATTTACCAAGCTTCAGATTACATAAAATACATGTACTCCATAATACCTAAAGGACTTGGCTACGACAACAGGATAATACAGGGCATTGCCTTGCTATCATGGGCTGCTTTCTACAAGATATTCACTGCTGACAGCTTGCTAGAAGGAGAGCTTTGTTGTAACTGTATCAGTGATGACAAGTTCAAAGAAGCTATAACCTTTTGCCAATCAAAGGAGATGAATGAACAGTTAGTCGATATCCCTGGAACTGTTGAAGTCAATCAACTGATTCACTTCTCCCAAGGTATCGAGGAAGAACTCACTCTAGAAAATCTTAACTGTACAGATTCGATTATCAAAGAGTTTGAAGCAGCTGAGTTTTCAACTAAATTTGAAAGAGAACTTAGTGAAACTTCAAGTCAGGCTTCTCTAGACTTAGAGCATATTGGTCACCACATGAGAGAGTTCCCTTTCACCAATGATGATGCCACCTTTGATTCGAATGAGCACATCAAGATGAGGATTGTGACAGCTAAAGACTGGGGTCGAGTTGATTGGAACACCTGAAATTTAATCGATAAATCACTTGAACCAATCGAAGTAGACAATTTTATTATCGATATACATGGAGGTTCATTTAACTGAGGATCATCAGCCAAACAGTTTCAATATACAAAGTATATGGCTATGAATACTAACTCGGTTGTTTTCTCTATTGATTATCGTCTTGCTCCACTCGCTAAATTCCCTACAAATATTAGTGACTGCTTGCAAGGCTATCTCTGGGTTATCCATTATGCTGAGACATATTTACAGCTGAAAGCAAAATCTATTATCTTGGAAGGGGATTCAGCTGGAGGAAATTTAGCTACAGCTTTAACCCAAATTCTGATCCAAAAGGGATTGAAAGTTCCAGACAAACTTCTGTTACCCTACCCTTGCCTTGCCCCTGGCAAAAGAGGGTTTAGTCCATCTCTTCTCCTATCCTTGGATGGGCTAGAGCTGAATTTTCAGAACATCACTCCTTGAGTAGATTTATACCTTCCAGCTGAAGACTTTGATGAAGGAATACCACAAATTTGCTGAAACAACACTCATAAGAACATTTTAGACAAATTCCCAAAAACCTTGATGATCCTACTCGGCATGGACTGACTACGAGACGAGTCTATCAGGTTTGCCAGCAAGCTAGAGAAAGCTGGAGTGGATGTAAGCGTTGTTGAGTACAAAGACTGTCTCCATGGACTTTTTTATCAAACACTTTTCCCATTCGAACTACCTGCAGCTACTCAGGCACTTGACCGTGCATGTCAGTTTATCAATGAGTAATCTAAATACGTAATCTTAATTTTCATTCAATCTATTAGCAATGGTTTGGGGTTTTGGGGTTTTGGGGTTTTGGGGTTTTGGGG